GCAGTTTGACTATATGAGTCATGGGGCCCTTCCAAGTCTATGGTTCTATGATTCTATGGCTTGCAGCCTCGCCACAGCTGGGAGGACCCAGAAGCACCCTTGTACCACACACTGGTGCTTACCTGAATCGGAAAATAATCTCGGAAGTAATTCCAGATGGACCAGTTCCGGACCCAAGTAGAACTTCTCCCACCTGCAGAAATGGGAAGACAGATTTATTCTAGCCTCTGAGTGCCCTTGAAGCCAAGAGTTATAGAACATGAGAATGACTCTAGGAAAAGAAGGAAAAATTAAAGGGGGGGGCAGGAACCAGTGTAGATTGGAAACACAAGTCTGCTGTCTAGCAATTGCTGCCACTGACCCCTCCATCTGGGTCTGCTGCAGGTGTCTCAAATTTGGTCTGGGAGGGACTTCCTAAAAAGCAAATGGTTTATGGCCTTTATTTAATTCATTAAAATTTGCACCGTTTGATTGTTAAAACAAAACAAGCCATCCTCAAAGCGGTTTACAGAGAGAACCCAATAAACCATTGGTTAAAACAGCTGAAAGCAAGTATTTAAAACATTCTAACAATTAAAAAAAATCAGAAATAAGCTAAAACCAGATTAAAACATACATTAATGTTCTACATGTCTGGGTAGACTTACCTAAACAAAAATGTTTTTAGCAGGCACTGAAAAAGGTACAGGGAAGGCACCTGCCTGATGTCAATAGGCAGGGAGTTCTGAAGTGTAGGAGCTACTACACTAATAGACTGATTTCTTTAAAATGTGGGACTGGGATTATGGGGCACCTGTAATGGTGTCAGTTCTGTGCATCAAAGCAGTCAAGAGGGCTCATATGGGGCAAAACGATCTCTCAGGTAAACTGGTCCTGAGTTTCTAAACCTTTCTAAACCAGGTCATACTTCATACCTCCCACCACCAATTTGTAAATATATAATCACTGTTGTGTCAATGAAGGTAAAGTCCACCACAGCTATGTGCCTGCCTTTCCAAGTAGCCCAGTGATGCATTGCAGGGGGCTGGACTAGATGACCCTCTGGAGGCCCTTTGCAACTCTCCATGATTCTGTGAAAACAGATCTTCATTTTGGGGGCATCTGGTTGGCCACTGTGGGAAAAGAATGCTGGAATGCAAGGGTCATTGCCATGATGCAGCAAGCTCTTCTTGTGTTCTTATGAGTGTCATCCAAAGGAAACCAAACATAGATAGTCCTGCCTGCCCCTGGACCTGTTCACAGGGTCACAGAATCACACAGAGATGGAAGAGATCTGAAAGGGTCATCTAGTCCAAACACCTGTGATGCAGGAACCACTACAAAAGTTTGCTTTGCCCCTTCTCTTGCAGAAATGTCACGTTCTGCAGCCTGCCACACAAGAGAGAGCTGCTCTTGTGGGATTCCTCTCTTTGTTGTCAGGTGTGATACTTAGACCTCTGAGGAGTGACGTTGGATGGACTTTGGGTTTGTGACAAAGCTGGGCAAACATTATGGGCTAGGCTGGGAGTACTGTCAAGGAACGCACAGAGTGTTTGCAGTCATGTGGCTGAAACAAACCTCCTGCTAACCTGGTTTCCCTTTTTCCTATCAGTGGGAATAGTCATTCCAACATCTCAGATACAAAGGTGATTCTCGAGTCGTTCATCACGGAATCACAGAATTGTAGAATTCCATTTTTCATCCACAGTGTACAGAAAACATTAGCTGAGGCAATTCTCCATCATGGAAGCATTAGGAATAACTTTCTGAGGGTAAGAATCATTCAACAGTGGAATGGGCTCCCATGGACTCTCCTTCCTTGGAGTCCTTTAAGCAGCTGGTCGGGCAGCCATCTGTCAGGGATTCTTCAGCTGTGATTCCTACATTGCAGGCAGCTGGTCACTACATGATCCTAGAGGTCCCTTCCAACTCTACATAATTCTATGATTTCATGGACCTGTGAAAGCAGGGTCCAAAGGGTACTACTGTAGCAACCAGCCTCAGTTAATGTTCAAGGAGAACAAAATGCCCAAAGACAAATGCACACACAAAAATAAGAGCTGTACCTTCAAACAAAATCCCTCTAAACAACCAGGATGCTTCTTCACTCACCATTCTCAGGTGTATTCCAATCATAGATAAGCCAAGCCAGGTAGAGAGCAGAAATGGGCCAGAAACTGGTGAAAGCCAGATAGATAAGGAGAATCAGGGAAGCCATCCCTGAGGGAGAGGAAGAAAAAAAATAGCTTATTTAGCTCAGTTAAAGCCACTTTATTAATTTATTTATTGCATTTATATCCCATGTGTTATGTGAGACCTTTAGCTAAAAGAAGGCTGCAAGCAGCAGCTGAGACACAGAGACATATTTGATTTCTGCTAGAATCCATGGCTGTGAGTAAGGAAGAGGCAAGACTTTCTGAGGTGTTAATGCTTGTGGTCAGGTTGTATATATGTGTAAATAAACCATATAGCCAAATGACACCACAGTCTCTGCTGTCCCTCATTCCAAGGAAACTGAACCCTAGGTAAGTGCTTGGAACACCTGGAATTTTGCTTTGCTCAGAGAGGCTTGTAACAATACATACATGCATACATTTACACATTTACACATTTAAATATTCATTCATTCATTCATTCATTCATTCATTTTTTCCATTCAATCATTCATTCATTTGTATACTTACTTACTTCAAACTCTGAATGGCTCAGGGCTCCTTTGAGAGCCAAACTGGTATAATGGTTAGAGAGCTGGGCTAAGACCCAGAGAGCCGGGTTCTAGTCCCCTGCTCAGCCACAAAGCTCTCTGAATGGGACCTTGGGTAAGTCACTATCTCTCAGCACAGCCTAATTTACAGGGTTGCTGTTAGGATAATATGAGCTGATCTTTGGCTCTGTGGTCTCAGGGCAACTGTTTGGCCAGAGAGATGGCTTGACCAAAGAACATGTGTCAAATCAGCCATCCCTTTGGAGGTCTTTTCCCATTGTGTTATCCTGGCAAATGTGTATTTTAAACCTCTGTTCTGAATTATGATGGAACTCACAGGTAGAGAAAACTTTTGTTTTATATATCTTTCCAGGAAGGATTGGAAAGGAAAGTGCCCAACAATCGCTATGTCACCAATGCAAAGCAAACCGGTTTCTTCACTGTCTCCTCAGTATTCCCCACTCCTGCTTAACTCCTTTAAGGCTCTCAGGTCTTGATTAGCAGATTTGCACAGTTGGAAGGGACCCTGTGGGTTGTTTAGTGAAGTCCAACTAAATCTCAACTAAAGCATCCGTGACAGGGCCACCTGTGAGGTGGGTTAGGCCAAAAAGCAGTGGCTGGCCCCCAAACTTCCCCAATTGACTTCATGGCTGAGGGGGGATTCGAAGTCTGATCTCCCAGGTCCTAGTCTGCCCTGTGAGGTACGTTAAGGTGACGGAGTGACTGGTCCCCATGATCACACCCGGTGCATTTTGTAGCCAAGTAGGGATTCAAACCTTGGTCTCCCAGGTCCTAGACCGAAACTCTAACCACCACATGACACTGTCCCTTTTCTCAAGTTGGCCATCAGTCAGAAAAATAGTCACATTCTACTCACCCAGCATCAAGAAGCTGAAAATCCACTGGAGGACTGACAGGAGCTGGAGGCCAGCCAAGAAATCTCGTTTTGAAGGCCATGGCACAGCCAGCGGCACGCGGAGAGCAGCCTGGATGCTGGCATGGATCCCTGGAAAGGAAAAGGACACCCAGACCAGGTTGCACTGACCTGTTTGTTCAGCTTTTCTCCACCCTCCCACCATTGGGAGACGCCCTCAGTGACTGGACCAATCCCCAGAAACATCTGGTGGATTCCACCCTTGAGAAAAGCAGGTTGCGCCATCCAGTGACATACAGACAACAGGAGCATGCAGGACAAAGGGCAGGAAAGGTCATGGGCAGAATCACCCCTCTTTACCTAGGAAGGCAGCCAGCCAGCCAGCCAGCTAAAAACACTGCTTAAGCATGGCATTTCAGCAAACAGAGGCACCTGGCATTTCTGTGTGCATCAGCAGCCAGCCAGCCAGCCAGCGACACGTATGCTGCTTAAGCATGGCGTTTCAGCAAACAGAGACACGTGGCGTTTCTGTGTGCATCAGCATTCAATGCGAAACGGATCTCAGGGGTCTTAGTAGACCACAAGTTTAAGGTGAGTCAACGGTGTGATGCAGCAGCAAAAATAGCTCATGCAAATCTCGGCTGCAACGATGGAGTTCTTGTGCCCAGCTCAAGGGAAGGAATAGCCGTACAATGATTGCCCATCTACAGAACTAAGCATACACTCTAATAGGGTCTGCCCCGAAGAATCCAACTGTAGAGTTGGAAGGGGTCCCCAAGGATTATCTAGTCCAATGCCTGCAATGCAGGAATCACAGCTAAGGAATCTCTGATAAACGAGCATTCAGGCTCTGGTTTTAAAAAATCTAATGGAGTCCACCACCTTCCATAGTCATCTGTTCCACAGTCAAATGGCTCTTACCATCAGAAAATCATACCCAATGGAATCTCCTTTCTTGTTGTTCAGGTCTCCTTCATTGGTTTGGGTCCTATCTTCTGAAGCACCAGAAAACAAGCTTGCTCCATCTTTCTCAGTGTATCACTTAAGGTATTTGAAGATGGCTATCATCAGTGCTATTTTACTAGAAAAAGAGGTGCCGGAATTCACCATGAACACTTCCCTTGTACTCTTAGAATGGCAACATTTGATACCCACCTGAGAGTGTCTGGAACTGAGTTCCATCTGAAAAAAAGCCCTGGCTTTCATATATCCTCTCAGTCTCCTCTTTTCTAGGCTAAATAACCTAAACTCCCTCAACCATTCATCCTAATGCTTGGTTTCCAGACCCTTTATTTTCTTGGTTGCCCTCCTCTGCATACCTTCTAGCTTGTCAATATTCTTCTTAAATTGTGGGGCCCAGAGCTGGACACATGACTGCCAATGAGGGCTGCCCATTGCAGAATAGAGTTCCTTTAATTTAGACACACATCTTATGTTGATGCCACCTAGATTTACATGGGGGATTTGCTATGTCACACTGTTGCTTCATGTTAAGCCTGAAGTCTACCGAGACTCTCAAATTCTTTTCAAGCCAGGTGTTCCCACATCCCATAATTGTGCATCTGCTTATTCGTGCCTAAGTGTTGACTCTTTCCCTAGATTCTTGTATTGCCACATCCCAGCAGTGTGAAAACAATGATGAAGAAAAGGGTTGGCGACCCAAGAATAAGTTCACCCTGGCCCGCCACCTGCCCTTGGGATGGTGGGTGGGAGGGTGGTGTCCAACTCTGGCAGCCAGAACTAGTGGCATGATATGAACTGATATTTGTTCAGACAGTTGGCAGGAGGATAAAGGTGGGAGTAAGGAAGGTCAGGGCAGATGACAGAGATGCAAACAGAATTTGCTTTGCATAAAGGATCATAGAATTACAGAATTGTAGAGTTGGAAGGTCATCTACCGGTAGTTTAACCCCCCTGTAATGCAGAAATTGCTTTAAAAAATTAGAGTTGTAGAGCTGAAAGGGCTATAGGTACTTGAATTTCCTAGTAAAAGCCAGGTGCCATCTATGAATTGAATGAATCATACAATTGTAGAATTGTAGATTAAGCAGGGAACTGTTGTTAAGCTTGCATGGCATCAGGGACCCAGTTCTGATATTGTGCTTTATCCTACAGTTTTAAGCCTAAGGGGAAGTGCAAGGGGGTAAAGTTGAAAGACTCTGAGGATCGTGGGTTGAAGATATTATATGTATCATCCCATGGAAGGATTATGATATTGAAGCTCTAATGCTTCCTAAAAATGAACAACATTGATCGTGTATTATAATATACTAACGTTACCATAAGATTGCATTTCTGGTTCTAAGGCTAAGTAGAGTTTTCATCTATCTCAATCAATACAACAATTAGGGGAGCCAATTAAAACAAGTAGAGTATTTATCTTTGTCCCTTGGTGATTTGAGGGAGGGGGTATCATTCTTTGCAGAATCCCAGTGAATAATCCGACCAGTAAAACAAAGGTGCAGATCTTTTCTGTAAAATATTGGAATGAATTGGGTGAACTGTAAATGCTTCAGATGTGTCTTCACACCAATATATTTTGCAAATGTCTTAAAAAAACAAACCAGTTCCACAGAATTGCACATATCCAGCTTGATTTATATAAGAAAATGGCAACTGCAGAGAAGGGCTGAGGCACGCCATTCCCAGAGTGATTTAACAGACAATTCCTCATTCCAGGGAATTATAGCTTTGGGACGAGGATAAAGGCCTCCTATAGCAACACTCACAAACTACAGCTCCCAGGATCCTCTGGTGAGAGGGTGTCTCGGGGGAAGCCATAACTGTTTAGGCTGGTTATCTGCGAGGTGAGAAAAGTGGAAAGTGGAAACTTCTAGACTGCAAAGCATGAGAAAAGGTATACCAACAACAAAAGAAAGGAAACGACACCTCCTGTCTCCAAAAATGAATGTTCCTATGCATATCCAATTAACTATACCTCCATCAGAAAATGGTATCAGGTGCTATTTTGACACACACATACACACACACAAATGGAAGGAGAATGGCACTAACTAAGCTTCTGTCCTAAGCAGAGGAAAACTAAATGATGCCATAGTTTTTGAGCAGTTATATTGGTGAAAGTGGCACAATTCAATATCTTCTCCCTGTTGATGACCTAAGGGCTCAGATCAACCAAGGCACAGAAAACAATACCTCAGATCCATACAAAATGCCAGGAGTAAAAAAGGACACCCTCAAACACTCACGACAGTGATGAACTCCCCTTTGAGATATTCACATGGATAAATAAAAGGAATTTCAGTTGGCCGGAAAGAACATAAAGTGAAAGCCTTTGCAGATGACTTGGTGCTAACTATAGAAGAACCATTAAATAATGCCAAAGAAGTTATTAAAGAAACAGAACAATTTGGACAAGTAGCAGGTTTTAAATTAAACAAAAGCAAGACTAAAATATTAGTTAAAAATGTGAAACAAGACTTGGTTGATATGTTGCAGCAGGAAATTGGTATAGAAGTAGTTAAAAAGTTAAGTATTTAGGAATTTGGTTAACCACAATGAACATAGATTTATTTCAAAATAACTGGAATGGAATTAAGAGAGACATGGAAATATGGGGAAGAATGAAATTATCATTTTGGGGAAGGATTTCAACTATAAAAATGAATGTGCTACCAAAGATGTTATTTTTATTTCAATCAATTCCTATAATCAAGGGGGCAGCAATTTTTAAAGAATGGCAAAAAGCAATTTCAAGATATGTCTGGCAGGGGAAGAAACTGAGAATACAATATAAGTTGTTAACAGATGTTAAAGAAAGAGGGGCTTCGCCCTGCCAGACTTGAAGTTGTACTATGAAGCAGTATGCCTCTGTTGGTTAAAGGAATGGATGCTGTTAAGAAATACAGATTTGTTGGATTTGGAAGGTTATGACAATAGATTTGGTTGGCACGCATATCTATGGTATAATAAAACAAAAATCCATAAAGGATTTGGTAATCACATATTTCGAAGATCTTTATATGAAGTATGGGACAGGTATAAAAACTTATTAGAACGTAAAACACCGTGGTGGTTATCTCCATTAGAAGCTATGAGTGTGAAAAAGATAAATATGAGTAAAAATTGGGTTACCTATGAGAAATTGTTGGGGGGGAGGAAATAAATGGAATATGAAACCATATGAAGAGGTTAAAGAATATGTAAATGATTGGTTGCACTATCGCCAAGTCAATGAAATATATAAAGAGGATTTAAAGGAAAAAGGATTTGATGATAAAAAATCAAAATTTGAAATAGAAATATTAAACAATGAATGTAAAGCAATGCCTAAAATGTATAAAATACTCTTGGAATGGCATTTGAAAGATGAGGAAGTGAAATCGGTAATGATACATTGGGCAAAAGACTTTGGATATAATATACAGCTTGAAGAATGGGAAAGGTTGTGGAATGAAAGGATAAAATCTACAGCCTGTAATGCTTTGAAAGAGAACATGATGAAAATGATATATAGCTGGTATATTACACCAGTGAAATTAGCTAAAATGTATAAGACGTGGGTGGTGCTGTGGGTTAAACCACAGAGCCTAGGACTTGCCGATCAGAAGGTTGGCGGTTCGAATCCCTGCGATGGGGTGAGCTTCCATCACTTGGTCCCTGCTCCTGCCAACCTAGCAGTTCGAAAGCACATCAAAGTGCAAGTAGATAAATAGGTACCGCTCTGGCGGGAAGGTAAATGGCGTTTCCGTGCACTGCTCTGGTTCGCCAGAAGCGGCTTAGTCATGCTGGCCACATGACCTGGAAGCTGTACGCCGGCTCCCTCGGCCAATAAAGCGAGATGAGCGCCGCAACCCCAGAGTCGGCCACAACTGGACCTAACGGTCAGGGGTCCCTTTACCTTTACCTTATAAGACAAATAATAAATGTTGGAAATGTAAAGAAAAAGAAGGAACATTTTATCATATGTGGTGGGAATGTAAAAAAGTAAAGAACATCTGGGAAATGATATATAATGAGATGAAAAAGATGTTGAAATATACATTTTTTAAAAAAACCAGAAGCATTTTTACTTGGTATTATAGGTCAGGACATTAATAGGCAAGATGTTAAATTGTTTTTATATGCAACAACTGCGGCAAGAGTATTGTTAGCCCAGAAATGGAAACAAGAAGAAATTCCAACGAAAGAAGAATGGCAGACGAAATTAATGGACTACGCAGAATTGGACAAAATGACAGGAAGGATTCGAAACCTGCGGGACCAGAGATTTACAGAAGATTGGAAGAAGTATATGAATTATTTGAAGAGCAACTGTAATCAACAAATTACGCTAGTAGGACTACAAGACATTTTGTAAGGAGAAATATACAAAGTGTTAGAAAGTAGAAAAAGATAGAGATATTGGTTATGAGTTTGAAATGTACAGTAATAGGGAAGATAAGAAATGCATACTGAGAGATTAGACTGGAAAATTTTCAGACAAGATTGATGGAAGTCAAAAATTTGAATAAGATGTAAAAGTATGTTTAATTACTGTTGAAAATGGTATGTTAAAAAACTAATAAAAATTATATATTATTATTTTATATATAGAGAGAGAGAGAGAGATTCACATGGATATTTTGATAGCCTCATATCACAGAATTATAGGGTTGGAAGTGCTCAAAATTGTCATCTGGTCCACCCCCTGCAACACAGACATCACAGAGTCACTGACAGATGGCAAGCCAACCTCTGTTTTAAAAGTTCCAGTGGAAGAGAGTCCACCACTATCTGAGAGAGTCAGTTCTGCTGTTGAACAGCTCTTACTCTCCTGGAGTTTTGGAGGCTGAAATTTGGTTCAAAGATGCCCTTCAATGGCTGATGCACTGGAGGCAGCCAGGGGGTTGATTCCTTGAAAAAAAGAGTGCTAATGAAAAGTCCACAGGAGACAAGTACTTGGGAGCAGCTCCCAGGCTCTGGAATGCTCAGCAGACCACAAGCCTCCAGCTTTGGAAAGAAAAGGACCTTCACAACCTCCTCAAAGAATGCTCCAGTCCAGAATTTCACAGAGCATATGGGAAGCGGATCCAGGATGTCCAAACTCTCCCTGGCCTGCTCAATAAATATGCACTCCCTGCATTGCCCAGGACCGATGCAAAGGCCACATGGCTGCAGAAACCAAGTATCATTTGAGCATCCCCACCTTGACTCTACTGAGCCAAGTACTCTGACTCAGAGCTGCAGGTGAACATGGTTGGCCACAGGTTAGGGCTGGGTCCAGGATCTGATCCCATCTAAGTGGTCATGGAGCAGGAGCAAAGCATCAAAGCACTGGAGCTTCTGCTAGGCTTGAGCCAGGTTGAGGACAGAAAGGGGGTGCCCAGAATGAGCAAGGGAGGTTCCGAGAAACTTGAACCTAGGCAGCTGGCTCAGGTGACGAGGCAGAAGCCCAGTTCTGCCCCCAAGTAGCAGAAGTTCTTGAGCCCAGGCAAGGGGGTGTCCAGTCAGAAAGTGAGAGGTAGCGCCAAGGTATCTGGGAGCCCAGAGACTGGGAGGCCTCATGTGGCATCATCAATCTTGCCAAGAGAATCTGAACATCACCAACTGGTATGGTTCTGAGTCCCAGATATTGCCGGGTGTTTTTCAACCTGTTTAGACCTGCTCCCTCAGGAGTCCAATGCACCCCTGAGTTTTCTTGCAATAAGATCTGGAAATTTTCAGATGGGGTCTCCCTTATCAGTAAGGGATTTTAATGCCTGTTTTCAAAAGGTGTTAAAAGCTCTGGTCATTTAAGCTTTGATTTCTGGTAACACTATGAAGTGGGTTACTGGAAGGTTGAATGGAGCGTGCTTGTTTTCTGCTGCTCCAGGGGATAGGACCCGAACTGATGGATTCCAGCTGCAAAGAAGAAGAGTCCAGCTCTGACAGTAAAAGCCATTTGACAGTGGAATGGACTCCCTCGAAAGCTTAACATGAGGCAACAGTGCGATCTAGCAGCGAAGAAAGCTAATGCCATACTAGCCTGCATTAATGGAAGACTAGGGTCCAAATTAAGGGAAGTACTGCACTGGCCTGAATATAAGCCTCACTTTTCCCCAAATTCCAACCGTGAAAAGTTAAAGTGTGGCTTATATTCGCAACCTTACGGTATGCAGCCAGGAGCGCAGGGCAAACAGCGCCAGGAGTGTGGTGAAGCAGTGCCTGCCCCATGCGTAGTGCCCCATCCTCTCCAGAAGGAGCAAGGAAGGGAGTTGCTTATCTTTGTGGATTTTTTCTTTTTTCTCCTCCAATTTTTAAGGTCCTGCTTATATTTGGGTGTGGCTTATATTCGGGCCAATATGGTAATAGTCTTGCTCTATTCTGCCTTGGTCAGACCACACCTGGAATACTGTGTCCAATTCTGGACACCACAATTTAAGAGGAATATTGACAAGCTGAAACATGTGAATAGGTGGACAGCCAATATGATCAAGGGTCTGGAAACCAAGCCTTATGAAGAACAGTTAATGGAGTTGGCATGTTTAGCCTGGAAAAGAGGAGACAGAGAGGAGATATGATAGCCATCTTCAAATATCTAAAGGGCTGTCACATGGAGGATGGAGCAAACTTGTTTTCTCCTACTCTGAAAGGCAGGACCCAAACCAATGGATTCAAGTTACAAGAAAGGAAATTCCAACTAAACATCTAGAATAACTTTCTGATGGTAAGAGCTGTTGGACTCCCTTGGAAAGTGGTGGACTCTCCTTTATTGGAGAATTTTCAACAGAGATTGGATGGGCATCTGTCATGGATGCTTTAGCTGAGATTCCTGCATTGCAGGGGGTGGACTAAATAACTCTTGATGGTCCCTTCCAACTCTAAAAAAACCCTCTTATTCCATCTCACAAGCATGGCCAAGTTGTGACTTGCTGAAGGTCCCATCCCCGCTTCCCCACATCCTACCTGCAGGAGAGGGAAGTTTGCAGAATTTTAGCCCATCTGGTCTCTCAGAGCCCATCCTGTCCTACTGTGACTGATAAGGAAAGTCTTTGGTCAAGGTCTTTCCCGCCTCTTGGCCTCGAGACTCCCACATCGGCATTTTATTTCCTCATGGCTAAAATATGGTGAAACATTAACCACTGCCACAGATGTCACAGCCCAATATGGACTAAAATAATGAAGGAGGTTGCCAACCAATCCCCTCTTAGAGAAAAGTACTTAACTTAAAAACTCAGGAGCTAAACAGGGTGGGAGGGAGGGATCATAGAATCCTGGAATTGCAGAGTTGGAAGAGATCCCGAGGGTATTCTAGTCTAATCCCCTGCATTGCAGGAACCTCAAGTAAAGCATCCATACATAAAACCAACATCTGCTTTAAAACCTCCTAGGAAGGAGAGTCCACCACCTCCCGACAAAGTTCATTCCATGATCAAACAGCTCTTACCGTCAGAAGGTTCTTCTCGATGTTTAGTTGGAATCTCCTTTCTTGTCATTTGAATCCATCATTTCAGGTCCAAGCCCCCCAGGGCAGCAGAAAACAAGCTTGCTCCGTCTTCTGTGGGGCAACCCTTTCAATATCTGAGGTTGACTCACATATCACTTCTTAGTCTCCTCTTCTCCAAGCTAAACATGCCCAACTCCTTCACTCATTCCTCACAAGGTTGGGTTTCCAGGCTTTTTATCATTTTGGACACCCTCCTCTGCACATGTTGCACCTTGTCAATATTTCTCTTCAATGGTGGCACCCAGAACTGGACACAGTGCTCCAGGTGGGGTCTGACCAAGGCGGAATAAAGAAGTATTATGACTTCCCTTGATCTGGACACTAGACTTTTGTTGATACAGCCTAGAATAGCACCAGCTTATTTTTGTTCAGTTTGTGGTCTACAAAATCATTTTTGTACTTTCAAGTCTGGTGTCCCCCATCCTATGGATGTGCATCTGATTATTCCTGCCTAAGTGCAGACCCTTACACTAGTCCCTTTCATTCATCTGCAAGGTGCTGTGGCACTGAATGGAACATATGCTCATCAAGAAGCCATCTGCTTGCAAGACAGAATAGATGGTTTCCTGAAATCAAGATAAATAACATCCACAGCATCTCTACAATATGTAAAGGTTGTCATCTGATGTCTTTTTTTAATGCAATTGTATTTTTGTTAAACTGGTTAGAAATACACTTCAGTCTTCCCTGGGATCAATCCCAGATCACCAGATTCCATCCACAGACATTCCTAAAACCCTTGAGACACATTTTGTGCCCCCCAAATCAAAATGTGTTGCTCAGGAAACAGCCAGCTGTTGCACAATTACCATGAAAACACACATCACCCAATGATTTTTTAAAAGGGACCTTTTTGGTAGACATATTTGCTATAGCTTTAAATCTTATGCTGGCTTTTTCCTTACCACTCTGGTTTTGGAAATATGCAGCAATGAGAGTCTTCATGGCGATCTCAGACACCCGGACACCCTTTTGCAACCTTTCTCAGACTTCGGTCTGGCGGGGTTTGCAAAGCAATGAACTCAGGAGTTGAGCTTTTGACCACGTTCAGGCTCCAGGACAGCTAACTAGGAGGAGGGGTGAGGCAGTGAACAAATCCTGATCCTGCTTCCTCTTTGGAAAAAAATAAATAGGTGAGGTAGGACAGGGAAACACAGAGGTACAGAGAACACAGGATGTAGAACAGGTAAATCAAAGATGACTTTTTTTTGTAAAGGACGCAGTGAAAGTGTTTTAATTCCTTAAGGGTTACATCAAGAATTTAGCAGAAGATTCGCATGTAAAATGTAGTCCCTGGGATCTCCGTGGAGGAGGTTCAGAATAATAGAAATGTAGAGTTGGGATTGATCCCAAGGGTCATCTAGTCCAACCCCCTGCAACGCAGTAATCATAAATTTTTAAAAGGCAGCCAAGATCATCCCATTGTTGAATTCTTCTCCTCAAACCAAATTCCATGTTTCGGCTGAAATGCAAGAGAGAGGAAAGGAAAGAACAAACACCCATCTCTCCTGACAAATCTTAGGGCAGAAAGCCATTCAACCCCCAATTAATTAATTGCTTGTGGCTTTTTAAGCAGAGGTTAGATGGGCATCTGTAAGATTGTTGAGCATGATTCCTGGACTGGAGGGACTAGATGATCCTTGGGGTCTCTTCCACCTCTACTATTCTATGGTTCTGCATTAGCGGAGATAAATGACTAGGATTGATGGGCTTTAACAAGGATGAGACAAATGTGTGGAAAACAATCTATGCCTCTTAACTGGAATGGAAGCTTTCTGCTTAGAAGTATTAAACATATCTCTCTTCTTACAATATAACAGAGATTTGACAGATCATTGCCATCATATTGTTACACACCACCCCAATCTCCACAGCTGTGCAAGATTCCAGGGGTTACAGGCATTTATCCCAGGCTCATGTGTCCTGTGAAATGAGGCACAGCAGAGACAGTGGTGTCTTTATGATGTAAACAACCCCCATTTTGCTTGGGGACTACTTTCTGGGTCATCATGTGTGTTGGCAGAGCGCACATAAGCCCACCCTGATCTGCTGTGCTCTCTTCTGGATCCAAAACTGGTCTATGCATGCATGTTCACGTACTGTGAAAGCACACAAAACAGGAGATTGCATGTTTATAGTTTACTTACATATGCAGTGGTACCTCTGGTTACGTACTTAATTCATTCCGGAGATCCGTTCTTAACCTGAAACTGTTCTTAACCTGAAGCGCCACTTTAGCTAATGGGGCATCCTGCTGCCGCTGCACCGCCAGAGCATGATTTCTGTTCTCATCCTGAAGCAAAGTTCTTAATCCGAGGTACTATTTCTGGGTTAGCGGAGTCTGTAACCTGAAGTGTATGTAACCTGAAGCGTATGTAACCAGAGGTACCACTGTACAGTATATGCAACCTGAGCATACTATGGAGGGGTTCAAAGCATTACACTCAAAACAGGTTCTCACTCTCTCGTCGGCTGCAATGTTGGGTCCAAAACTGCCAGCCCACAATTGCGCTCTGACCCCGCTTTCTCTAGCTGACAAACTGCTTTCCAAATGTTAACTAACTTTCCTTCAGCTTACATCACCTCCCACTCCAATTCCACCCTCCCCCCTGAAACTCTGCCTTTTTTGTCTCTTACTATCTCTCAATCCAGGCTCTACCCTTCTGCCTCCAGCAGAGAGTTTTTGCCTTGTTGATAGTCATCACACTGTCTTTATTTGCTTAATGACTCATGCTGGCCTGGACGCAGGAAGATTTGTTTGGGCTGTATTTTACCCATGCTAAACACAGTGTCTGGCAATCAGAACTTAGGAGACTCCAGGCACCCCACAAATTCATCAAAATATGCACAAAAGGAGGCTCTGGGGGCTTTCGGTGGGTCAAGGCCAGAGCCTCTGACAACAACAACAACAACAACAACAACAACAAAATTTATTTTTTATACCCCGCCCATCTGGCTGGGTTTCTCCAGCCACTCTGGGTGGCTTCCAACAAAATATTAAAATACAATAGTCTATTAAACATTAAAAGCTTCCCTAAACAGGGCTGCCTCCAGATGTCTTCTGTTTTTCTCTTTGACATCTGGTGGGAGGGCGTTCCACCGGGCGGGTGCCACTACCGAAAAGGCCCTCTGCCTGGTTCCCTGTAACTTGGCTTCTCGCAGCGAGGGAACCGCCAGAAGGCCCTCGGCGCTGGACCTCAGTGTCCGGGTAGAAAGATGGGGGTGGAGATGTTCCTTCAGATATACTGGACGGAGGCCGTTTAGGGCTTTAAAGGTCTGCACCAACACTTTGAATTGTGCTCGGAAATGTACTGGGAGCCAATGTAGGTCTTTCAAGACCGATGTTATGTGGTCTCGGCGGCCACTCCCAGTCACCAGTCTAGCTGCCACATTCTGGATTAGTTGTAGTTTCTGGGTCACTTTCAAAGGTAGCCCCACATAGAGCGCATTGTAGTAGTCCAAGCGAGAGATAACTAGAGCATGCACCACTCTGGCGAGACAGTCTGCGGGCAGGTAGGGTCTCAGCCTGCGTACCAGATGGGGCTGATAAACAGCTGCCCTGGACACAGAATTGACCTGCACCTCCATAGATAGCTGAGCCCAAAATGACTCCCAGGATGCGCACCTGGTCCTTCAGGAGCACAGTTACCGCATTCAGAACCAGGGAGTCCTCCACACCTGCCTGCCTCCTGTTCCCTAAAAACAGTACTTCTGTCTTGTCAGGATTCAACCTCAATCCATTAGCCACCATCCATCCTCCAACTGCCTCCGGACACACAGGACCTTCACCACCTTCACTGGTTTTGAGCTGAAAGAGATGTAGAGCTGAGTATCATCTGCATACTGATGAACACCCAGCCCAAACCCCCTGATGATCTCTCCCAGCGGTTTCATATAGATGTTGAAAAGCACGGGGGAAAGGACGGAACCCTGAGACACCCCACAAGTGAAAGCCCGGGGGCCTGAACACTCATCCCCCCCCCCACTTTCTGAACACGGCCCAGGAGGAAGGAGCGGAACCACTGTATAACAGTGCCCCCTGACTATTGGTTTAAAAACCAATAGTGGTTTTAAGAAGAAGAAGAGGAGTTTGGATTTGATATCCCGCTTTATCACTACCCGAAGGAGTCTCAAAGCGGCTAACATTCTCCTTTCCCTTCCTCCCCCACAACAAACAGTCTATTAAACCAATAGACTAGCCTGACTATTGGTTTAAAAACAGGAAATTTTTAAAATGTTGCATAAATGGAGCAAAATTCAGGCAAATAGTAAAAGAAATAAATATGCATCCTGACACTGATGCTAGTTTAAGATACAGAACTTTGATGCTATTCTTTTTTTACTGAAAAAATGTGACCTAACCTAAAAAATGTGACCTGGGAGAGACCAAGTTTCAAATCCTGCTACTTGGCCGTGTTTACTGAGCACCACCTTGGGAGTCAGTCACTGCCTCTCAACCTAACCTACCCCACACAGTGTTGTTGTGAGGGCAAAATGAGAATGGTGAGAATATGCCCGAGTTCTGATAGCCCAGAAATGGAAAACACCGGAATTACCAACTGTGAAGGAGTGGCAGACAAAGATGGTTGAATATGCGGAATTAGCAAAACTGACCCATAGGATTTTTAGTCAGGAGGAAACAAGGTACCAAAAAGAATGGAGTAAATTTATGGTCTATATAAGCGAGAACTGTAGAAACTTGAAGACGTTAGCAGTACTGAAATAAAACTTATGTCATGGCTTAGTTACTACTAAGGAACTGTGGATTAGATTGGAATAAGAAAACCTGCAGAAGGGAAGGAGGGAAGTCAACTGCTCCACGGAGTGTAAAATAAGACAGATGTAAAAAGATTTGAAATATCTGTGTATTTTGTTGGTGTATTTGAAATAAAAACTCAACAAAAAGCATTTTTTTAAAAAAAGAGAGAATGGTGAGAATAATGTGTACTGCCTTGAGCTCCTTGAAGGAAAAGTTGGGATAGAAATGTAATCAATATTGAAATAAATAAATTTGTACCCTTCGTTTTCCACTTTGTAGAAATGTGGTTTTATTATTGGAGATACACTCTTGAAAGCCATGATTATGGATCTGAAGCATAAATTGTATCTCCTGTGGTTTTGACCCACAAAAAATTAATCAGGATTCAGGAAAAGTCACGTTCACTTTCTTGCTGATTCAGCAGTTTCATGTGGGATTTTATATTTTCTGACTCGCCGATCAAATAGAGGTGGACCCCCATTCGGCAATTCCTACGATGGCAGAGATTCCTGCATTGCAGGAGGTTGGACTAGATGACCCTCGGTACCCTTGCACCTCTGCAATCCTATAATACTATGGATCTGTATTAGTGGAGATGGTAGAATAGCAACAACAATAACAGTATAATACCTGGGAGCCACCTTCGTGGGATTAATATCCTGAAAGGTGGTGTAATGTTAACAATAACAGCACCTAACGTCCATCTACCTTTCTCAGCCTACAACTCCCATCAGGCCCCGCCAGCGCTATCACCGCCCCACCAGTCCAGCGCCGTCCAATCAGCCCGCCGGCCGTGCTAGCCGATGGGAGTTATAGTCCAAATTCCCAGGTTGGGGAAGGGACGCTGTCTCTCATTGTCATATTTCAAAACTTGGGGGGACATAGTGTGCGTGTGACTCAGAGTTGTGGGGGAGTAGAAGACAGGCCCTTATGCTCCCTTATGAGAAATTCGGCTCTCTCTTTCCCCACCAGCGGCCCCGCGCCCTGCACCCCGCCTCTGGCTTCAGACCTAGGCCTCCTTCGTTGCTATGACAACAGAAGCTCCTGAACGATGGCGCGGTATGATGACGCACACGCGGTAGGGGGCGTGGTCTCTGGCCACGTCGTCGCTCCATAGTAGCTGGGTCCAAGATGGCGGCAGCCGAGGAAGCGGCAGCGATGCGGGCTGATGGAGGCACAAAGCCGCTGGTGGGTCGGGAGGGGAGGGGAGGGGAACCGGCTGAAGAAGGCCGCGGGGAGGGCGTGAGACCCCCTCACGCGCAGGGCTGACCGACGGAACTCCCTGCCACAAGATTGGGATGACGTCAGAAGCAGGGCGCTCCTGGACCCCAAGACTTCCTGCCCGACTAAAATGCTTGTGACCCCACTCTCCTCCCTTGATAGCGCTCTCGGAGAGAGGGAGAAGACCAAGGGCAGCCGAACCTCCATGTCCCAGACAGTCTACCTCTGAGCACCAGCCAGATACTCTGGAAGGGCAGCTCCGGGCTTCTTCCTGCCTCCACCCTCCTCCTTCGTTGGTTCCCTAGGAGGCTGGGACCTTCGAGCTGACCCAACAAGGCTGTTGTGTTCTTACGTTTAAATTGAAAAGAGGCGAGTGGGGGCTGATAACTGCAGCCTCCCTCCCTCTGTGGTTGCAATCTGCATTGCCATCAGCATTATTCTTGCTATTATTCTTGCTGCAAATCATTACCAGCCTTTCAGTAATATGTGGGTCACAAAAATTGAAATGAGCTTAATATTGAAATGCAATCTTAAAAATAGTTTGAAACAACTTTAAGAAACAGGCCCCCAAATTTTGTTGAATCTATATCTGTCAGTGAATATTATTGTTGTTATTATTTATTAACTTTCTATACTGCCCATCGAAGGTTCACTGGGCTCTTTACAATATAAAAACACAAAAATACATAACATAGTAACAAAGAAAAACAATAACCTTCCCCAAAGTCATTTTATTATTTATTAAATTTCTATGAGAGCTGCAATAGTGTAAAATAGGATGCTCCTAATTAGAAGATGCATATATCTGGTAGGCAAATGCTGGAATCCTAACAGCACCATGTTCTGCAGGTGTCCATCCTGTTGGTGCATTGCAGGAAGTTGGACTAGATAGTCCTTGGGGGTACCTAGAATTCTAAAATTCTGTGATTCATTGGAGGTTTTTAAGCAGAGGTTTGATGGCCACCTGTCAAGGAGATGTGCAGGGAGTTGGACTCGATGACCTTAAGGGTCCTTTTCCAGCTCTACAGCTCAGTTATTCCATGTAGAGCTTTAGTCTGACCTAAGAAAGCAATCATAACCATACATTGTATGTCCCCCCCCCAAGAATACTACCCCTCCCCGCTTTTGCATGCTTAAACTTCAAGTGTTATATCATTTGTTTCAGTCCTTTAAAATTGTAAACTGGCTTGGGTGCCTTGCAGAAAGATGGTTCATAAAAGCTAATAATGACAAT